AATTCCTTGGTTCCATGTAAGAGCGTGTAGGAATGCCACCCGATATGAGAATCGTGCTTGAGCACGGAAGAGAGTAACTGTTCTGTTCACATTTTAGAGGAAATAGGGTTGTTTTATTGTATACAATTTTGCGTCCATGTCATGTGAATGAATTTATTAGCGTGAACGTGTAGCACTAGAGAGCCGATGGCGGAATATTGAGTATCCCAGTTAGGTTAATTGGATAATAGGTGTAAAGGTTCATGGAGAATATGGAGTACTAATTGAGTGGATGATATGTAAATAGGAAAGAATATGGTTTAAGAGTGAGTGAGAGTGTGAACGGATGTGAATGTGATGTGAATATGCGTTGGGTGCTGAAATGACCTGATGACGACACGCGGAGGCAATCTCGGTGGCTGGACGGATAAGTCAGAGGTCTTACCCCGGACTGCCAACACCCGAGGTGGGTGATTCTGGAGGCCGGCCGGTAATTTTTTGTAAATGCACATATGTATAATTATGTTCATTCATACGGATTTGAGCATATAAATCCAAATCAAAATTTGATATATGACTTCCCATATCGTGTAGTTGTTTTATTGTTTATTAATCCTTTTTGTGTGTCCCTGTTTCATTTTGGTAATACTGTTCGAAATCTGGGTTTCTTTCAAGAAATAATAATAAATTAATGAAATAATAATAATAAAATAATATAAATTCGAACGCGTTTTTCACGTTTTTAGCTTTCAGTCGAAGATCAAATTTTTTAATTGAATTTTTACCATTAGTCATAAATATGTGTATATATACATACTTGTTGTTCTGAGTAAAAGTAGTAAAAGAAACAGAGTAAAAAGGCCGATCTTTTACTTGCATATTATGCTAATTTAAACATTCGTTAAAATTCAAGTCAGTCGGAATTATGTGTAAAACGTTCGATCTGAATTTTTATAGTCACAGACTGCATTGTTTCCATTCCGATCAAACTTAAACTAGTTCGATAAAATCAAAGAACAAGAAATATCTCAACAATATCCGCTATCAGTAAACGTTCTTTGATAACATTGTTTTCAAAATAGATAATAATAGAAATGAACCCGCCGCACATTTCACTAGCTATGCATTCAATAGGGGCTGGCAACAAAAACTGCCTTTATGAGTCAACAAAGAAAAAATAGCATTTAAAATACTAAAAAAATGCTGATCATGATAAGAAAATTTTTGAAAAACCTCGATCAGATAAAGGATCTAAAAGATTTAACCAAAAGTATTTTTTAACCATGCATAATTTGCAAAAAAAATTTAAAAAAGTAATATTATTATTAAACTTATAATTTATTTGAAGTGATTATTTGAAAATTGTGAGATGCGGTCTGGTGTGACGTAAGTTTTAGAAAAACATTTTCTTTATCGTGCCAACGTTTCGATCTTTATTGAGATCATCTTCAGTGCCTGGGATTTAAAAACATTGTTTAAATTATACAAATACATGTAGGATGTGAAAAAAGTGAATTTATAGGCTAGAAATTTTAGGCTCAATCAAAGTATTTGTACTCACTCAAAGTGTTTGTTTTTGGGTAGATGTTTCATTTTTGTGTGTCGTGATGTGAGTGCCAGTGAGATATTGATATGTTTATATACGTTGAATTTTGAAGGAGTGGAGAAGGAAGTTGGGACAGAAAACATTTTTATATGAGGAGTCGGCTTTTTTGAGGTGAAAGGAGCCGACGATGGGAAAAACGTTGATAATGGTTCGGCCTGATTATCCTTTCAGGATTATATAGACAGGGATAATTAGGGAAAGAAAAGCTAAATTGTTGAAGAATTAGACTATGTAGAAATGTTTGATGTGAGGTATGTAATGATTATTTTATATGTTATATGTTCTGTGTGATGTGATGATGAAATATGCATGTTAATGATATTCAATTTGATTAATGATATTAGAGTTTACACGTGTCTGTTCTGTAATTTATGCTGTGCTTATCTCTGTTGATGTAAACCATTTCTAAAAAGTTACGTTTGTGTTTGTTTTGTTCTGTGTGTAATATTTTTGGATCATTGAAGTCGAAATTGTGTTGTGTTCAAAATGGTAGGTGACCAGTGCTAGGATTTTGTTTGGCTTTTTTGCAGTCATAGATATGTTGATTTACTCTCTTATCCAGATATTGGGATGTAATTCCAATGTAAGTTGCCGAACAGTTTAAACAATTGAATTTGTAAATTACTTATGATTTTTCCTTCTTGAAAGTAGGATAATAGGTCATCTTAAAAAAACAATCAGTTTTTTATTCACAACGTTTCGGATTTATTTTACTCCTTCCTAAGGTGAGTTAACGCAATGGGTAAAACATTGGTCGTCAGTCATTAATATTTTATAACAGTTTATTTAAAAAAAACAGCCAGTGTGGTACATATTTAAGTCTTTCAGACTCCGAACGAACGTTTTAAATTACGTTTATTTGTAGTGTTTACAGTTAGTTTGTAGTCGGATAATGAAAATGAGTGAAGGATACCTCTTTGAGTCCGCTGATATCCGCTGGCCAAGTACTATCACTCAACTTAGTAATAATTATCTTCCAGACGACTTTGAACCACGGAAAATGATGGTTTCGTAAAATTCCAGTTCCGAAAAATTTTCCATAGGAAAAGAACGTGTTTTCTTATACTCGACACCCCTTCCAGTAGAAAACGTAATTTGTTTCAAATGAGTGTGACTAATGTACATTTTCCTTAAGAAAGTGTGGAAAAACGTTTTAGAGCCGTTTTCACAAACACTATATTCATCGCCTGTGCTCTTAGTTTACTTTGCACTTCTTCAACACCGTTTACTTTATTCCGTCTTGCATACTTAGCACTTTTTTTAAACTCATTTTCCCTTATAAGCATTATTTTACCACTTCCTTGGACTTTTCGGATGTGTATTATTCAAACACACAGAGCACTGTTAAAACATCACAAACTTACACTTCTCGAATTTTGGCAACCCTTGCAAAAATCACAAAAGAGGCCGGCTTCACGCATCCGGAATAAAATTCCTTGGTTTTTATAAGCAAACCAGGAAAAGTACCTATTCAAAATTCCAATAGCCAATTCATGTAGAGTGGATTCCATTGAAGATAAGTAGTTGGTAATTATTCAAATACGCTGATGTAATGTTTAATTTCCTACCGTAATTTTTCTAAACATTTTTATTACGAGAAAAACTCACACTTTTAATCAATTTTTTTTATAAAAGTCTAAATGATTTTGCAAGAAATTTCATTCAAGGGGAGGCTGAGTAGGAGGGATCACCAATTTTAATTAAATTTGTCCGGTGATAATAGGTCAAAAATAATTATGCACGCGTCTACGTTCCTCCTTGCCGAAAGACACTACGAGTCTCAAAAACATTTTAAGTAAATTAAATACTTTTTATGTTTTTCTGCCTTCTTTGCTTTTCAAGGTTATATCAATCGAGTGGTTTGATTTTTACGTACTATGAGAAAATAATAAGAACAATCGTATTAATGAGATTAGATTGCAAGGTCACAGGATTATTTATTTATTTTTTTAAGAGCAGAGGTCATGTCAACCCTCGGGTGCCTGTGTTTTTGAAAAAAGCCCATTTGTAAGTATATCGGATTCGAATGAAGGGCCGCTGGATTCGAACCCAGGACCTTTACCTTACAGTGATGAGCGCCGTGTCAACGCCTAAACCGTAGCGGCCACCTACGCCCTCACAGGATTATTGTTAAATGATTGCCAATTAAACTATATCAGTACATTAATTTCACAGTACGGCTAGCAATCCTTCCTTCTGTATACCTCAACCGTGTTCTATTTGAATTATTCTCCTGTACATGTACCTGTGCTCCAAACAATCATTATCAATTTGGTAGTAAATTGTACTGGTTCTAGCTTCGAATTGCTTAAAAAATTTAAAAGTTACATCTCTGATGTATTCCGGTACTATCAATTGTGCAATTCCGATATGCATGTATCGGAGCGCGTCTGTCGTAATGCTCAGAAACTTGTTCTGCACCACCTGCAGCCTTGCAGACTCTAGCAGGGGCACGCATACAGGAGCATACCTTACCTTGTACAGGAGTTTACTAGCTGGTCTCAGAGTGGACTGGAAACAGAGCGGAGGAAAATATACTCGGGTAGCCGCTTTGCCCTTGTCCACTTCATCTAATGAAGTAATTCATGTTAATACATGGGGTGTAAATGTGAGTAACAATATCACACAAAATATTTGACCGAATCAGACTACGACACAGGTACGTCTTCAATTTGGTTCTTGTTTTACAGTAACGGCCGACGCTTGCTGAAAACTTGCCTTCGTTTTATTGTGCTTAATTTTCATTTTTTAACATTATGCAGCGCATTGCGTTGTCCAACTTGTTCGATAGTGTATCTATCCTCCAAGAAGACGAGTAGTGTTTAACGATATCGTCAGTGTAAAGAGCCATTTTTACGTATTTAGGTATTTTGTTTAAATCTACAAAGAACAGGATGGGTCCTAGGATAGATCCTTGAAGGACAACAGTTACCATGACGCTCGGTTGGGAAAGAGATGATCGAAAGAAAACTCGGAATTGTCTGGATAAGAGATAGGAGTGGACTATTTTTATTATGTGGGGGGAAGCTATCATCATCCCGCTGATAATACCATCTTCTTAGGTCATTAAAGTAATATACTAATAAGAAACGTTTATTACAAATATAAACTTTATACTGTTCATTCTAACGAATAAACACTCAAATTTTTTGACACTTTTTGTTGACAAATTGACGAAAAACTGAAAACATTGAGATGTTTGAATGACAAAATTTTAAAATATCCTGTTTCTGGACATATATATTATGACTTAATGAGGCAATTTGTGTCTAGTTGGTTATTTTCTTAAACACACATTAATTGCATCTATGGTGCAAATGATGATGATGGCAATTTTTGAAAACGCAGATTTTTCCCCCTGTTGGATTTATTCTAACCAAATTTCTATGGTTTAAAAACAAATATAAATACACTATTTATTTAGGAAATGTTTTTAATATCACTAAAGGTATTACATTTTACCATCTTACATTAAATTTTAGGTTTTTTATAAATTAAATTATTAAATAGTTCAATTAGATATTTTCTTCTACTGGAACTTCGTTTCATACTTCTTGCTGTACTCGCCCTTCGGGTCGTACTTGCTCTTGAGCCGCGCCCAGTCGCGGGGTCTGTTCTTGCTCAGGTGCCTGATGACCTTTTCCGTCTGGGTCTTCTGGTTGTCACTGCACTTGGTGCATCCGGTAGCGAGAGCGTCTGGCAACGTTTCTAACAACAAAATTTAATATTTAAATAACATACCGTTACATTATATTTACTTTTGGATGGATCAAATGTCAAAGTAAAACAATATCCGAGGTTTAATGACTATTGATCATCTCTAGTCCCTCTAATTTTATTGTTTGTTATCTGACAGGCATTAATTCATGTTAAACTTGTGTTCCACAACTCAAAACGGCAGGAACAACCGGAACTAGAAATGAGTATTGTTCAAGTACTCAGTTTTCCCTTAGTCAATAATCATTAGTAAAGAGAGCATTTGAATTGTTTGTTACACATGGTCGAATTTAAAACTGCAAAATAACTTATTGGGCAAAATAAATGCATTGTATAGATCGTCTTGGCTTCAAACCCTCACCTGGTCGTTATTTCAAGTTAACAAAAAGGAAGTTAATGCATTCTACTTTTTCAAATGCAGAATCTCTCGAACTTTGCCCACACATACATATATGCAAAAGTATGAAAATCGTGCTGAAAACACAAAAGTTATTTTCTCGCTGGCCTTCACAAGGCGGCTAACAGAAGTTTCAACGAAGCCGATCCAGCTGGAATAAATTAATCTTGTCCTCAGGTGCTTGTACTTGACAAGTTCTATAATGTTAGGATGATGCTTTTTGTATTATTAAGCATTTAATTTCTATTAAATTTATTTATAATAGTCCACTGGAAATCGTTTTTTGAACCTGTGACTCTGGTAAGAAAACACTCCATTATTTACTTAAATAAAGAAAATAAGTCAGGGAAGAAAATGAGCGAACGAGAGTAAATTGGAGAAAAACTTTCCCTTCCGTCGTCGTAATTAAGGGCCAAGGGTTGGCTAAAGTCGTTATAACAATCACAACATTATGACATTCGTGGCTAATTTGATTATCCTTTCAACCTTTCCGAACGAACAACGCTGTGAATTTTTCTTTTTTTGTACAATTGAAATAGAACCATCTTTCATGGGTGTTTAAATTACACTTTTTCTCAAATAAATTTATATATGTTGCTTATACAATAAAGTGCTGAATAATGCAACATATTATATTTTATCAACATTGTAAACGCACAAATTGTATTGTTTGGAGTGGAAAGTGATTTATTAGCGTGAATGGGAGGTTTAAAACCGCCCCGAGGAATATCGAGTACTATTTGGTGCATGTGTTGTCAGGAGAGTGAAAATAATTTATTAGCGTGAATGAGGGTTAAACCCGCCCCGAGGAATATCGAGTACTTTGGAGGAGTGAATATGACCAGATTTGTCTTGTTATGGGAGGTGAAAGGATACCGGATCGTGGTATTCCGACGACAACGGAAATGCGCTCGGGCTATCTGGGGTGTCGAGGCGTATTTTCTGCGGTTTGTCTGCCAGCTCTTCACCGTGGCATTTTCTGAGGGTTTCTTTTCGCAGTGTCAGGGTGTTTTCAGAAGTGTGAAAATCTTTATGTGTTTTCTGTTTGCGTTATATGTAGTTTCTGAGGTAACTACAAAAATAAAAACCCTGTTCTGCGGTCTTCTTGGCAGTATCTGCACGGTGTACTACAAGAGATTAGCAAGTTAAGAAAACAAGATACAAAATAGGAGAGTTAGTGACAAAGAATCACGAGAAAAACTACATTTTCTGTTTACAGCACAGAGACTCAATTAAAGTTTTCGTGCGTGTTTTAGTAAATTTCTCATCTAAACTAACCCTAATTAATTATATTAAAGTAAGAATTCTTATTATTGTTAAAATACGTTTCTAACGTTTCCTCATACAAGAAAAAAATAGAATTTATCATTAGCGTAGATTCGCGTGTTACGGCACCATTGAAACAAAGGACTTTCCAGATTTAGATTCGTGTTAAAGTATAGTTCAAGTATTTTCGTCCGCCACCGATTGTTTAAGTTGGATTTAAGGAAATTGTTTAAGCTGACGAATGGGTTAAATCGAGGTCATTGGCGGCCAACTAATGGAACGCTTGTATTGGAAAGTAATTAGCTTAACGATCTTTTAATTGACATCAGTAGCAATTTGATTTGATACGTGATAGATCGTATTTTACTATTTGTAATTTGGAAATTCGTATGTGATTTTTCATTAGTTGATTAAGTACAGAATACTTATACTGTTAAATAAATATTTTCTGTATATGGGTGTTGGTGAGAGATTGTGTGTGTGTGGAGAGGGAGGGAGAGAGAGAGAGAGAGGATGAATGAAGAGAGATTTCGAAGACCTGAGAGAGAGAGAGGAGTAGGTCAATGTTGACGATTTTTAAATTACAATTATACATATATATGAGTTTGCATGACATAGATGAAAGTAATGGGACATCTTTGACATTTTCCCGACATCACACGACACATGAACAAAGTTGAGTGGTCCAGGCTACCATCCCCATCTTCTTAGCAGTCGTCCAACGTATTTTCTTTTCCAAATAGCTTTTACGTCATGTTGAAAACAATTATTTAACTTTGATGAAGAGAGAGAATGAGAAATAAACTGATAGAGTGATGATAGTGTATGAGAAGGATAAAGCGAGGGGCTACGCCCTAACCCTAACAGATTATATATTAACATCACGCTATTTTGTTTTCTGAGTGATGATGGATTAATTCTCAGTGGGACAAATTCAGCCATTTAAATCAGTGTTCATTGCTTTACTTTGCAAGATTTATGTCGGCTCTTTACTTTATCTGAACTAATTTTAAATCGTTAAGTGAGAAAAGGATCGTTCAGCCGGCATGAGCGATTAATTTCTCCGCTGTCCGGATGGGTTATGCAAGCGTAGAAAGTGTTTTTGTTCCGGATTTACCTTGAATAAGATGTCCCACGACGCCTACGATTTAAGAGAAAAAAAGGAACATGTGAAATTAAATCGATATTACAAAATCCGTTTTGAAAGTATTACGAAAGGGGTCGAGCCGGGGGTTCTTTGGACCGGTTCGTTAGTCCATTCCTATCCAGGTGAATAAAGTAAGTCCAGTTTCTTTGATCAGGGTTTCGAAGATTACGTTGAACACAATTATCGGTTGACACAAAGGGCAGGAGGAGAAAGCGGAAAGAGAGAGAAAGTGGTTCGAGGAAGTATCCTTCCTTCCCAGTTAGCATGTTAACTAGACGATTATCTTTTACCTTTTTTTCTTTCTTAAAACCTTCCGATCTCATTTCCCAATAGAAAATCAATAAAAATCAATTCTACACGTTGAACTGGTTTTGCATGGAGACATTTTTTATTCGAACACGAGGCGATAATTATTTTTTTGAAAGACGACAACCATGACATGGTTACATCGACTCTACACATACCAGTTGCAATTTGATTTAATGTGTTTTTTCCAGGCATAGATTTCCTCACCGACCTGAACATAAGGTTGTAAAAAAATTAGTAAAATCTCACAAATCAATTTTAAAACGAGAAAGATACCGAATCTATTAATTTAGCATTAAAACATAACAAAATCACCTTAAAAATTATGATGAGCTCAGCTAAGCAGCAATTCATTGAAACAAACAGTAGTTTAAAAGTGAAAACCTCGATCTTAAAGTTTAATTATCAATTTTTATAGCTTATTAATTCTTCTATTTTTAATTAACATTATTGTACAATTTTGATCGAATAGGATATTGCTGTTTGGGTTTGTGAATTTATCTTATGTATATAAAAACTATCGTATCAGATACTTCTTGTCACATTTGACTCATTATTTATGCTTATTAAATGATTTATTTTTTTAACAACGTATTATTATTATTGTACAATTTTGGTCGAATAGGATATTGCTGTTTCGGTTTGTGAATTTATCTTATGAATATAAAAACTATCTTATTCAGACCCTTCTTGTCACATTCACTCCTTTTTTTTATGCTTATTGTTTTATTTTTTAACTAACATAATTGTTGTTCAATTTTGGTCGAACAGGAAATTGCTGTTTTGTTTTATGATTTTATCATATGTGTATAAAAACTGTCGTATTCAGACTCTTCTTGCCATATTTGACTCATTTTTTATTCTTATTAATTGTTTTATTTGTTAACAACTATTATTATTGTACAATTTTGATCGACTAGGATATTGCTTTTGGTTTTATGATTTTATCTTACGTGTATAAAAATTATCGTATTCAGACCCTTTTGGCTATATTTGACTCATTTTTTATTCTTATTAATTGTTATTTTTTAACAACTATTATTATTGTACAATTTTGATCGAATAGGATAGTGCTGTTTTGTTTTATGATTTTATCTTATGTGTATAAAAATTATCGTATTCAGGCCCTTTTGGTTATATTTGATCATTTTTTATTCTTATTAATTGTTTTATTTTTTAACAACTATTATTATTATACAATTTTGATCGACTAGGATATTGCTTTTGGTTTTATGATTTTATTTACGTGTATAAAAATTATCGTATTCACACCCTTTTGGCTATATTTGACTCATTTTTTATTCTTATTAATTGTTTTATTTTTTAACAACTATTATTATTGTACAATTTTGATCGAATAGGATATTGCTGTTTTGTTTTATGATTTTATCTTATGTATGTAAAAACTATCGTATTCAGACCATTCTGGCCATATTTGACTCATGTTTTATGCTTATTAAGTGTTTTATTTTTTAACTAACATAATTGTTGTTCAATTTTGGTCGAACAGAAAATTGCGGTTTTGTTGTATGATTTTATCTTGAGTGTATAAAAACTATTGTATTCTGACGCTTCTTATCATATTTAACTCAGATGTTATAGCGTGTTAATGTTCTATTTTTTAGCTTACATAATTATTGTAAAATTTGTTGGAACAGGATATTGCTGTTTTGTTTTATGTGTTTACCTTATGGCTGACGGTTAAATTAATGTTGTCCTTTCTTTTTCTCCTCACTTCCTAATGTAATTAACAAAGAATGGAGTTACTTCGTTGCTAATGACACAAATCCAATTCATCTAGGGAAACAAAATCGAATGAACGATTGCAGCGAATTCGGGCCAAGGGCATGCCACCCAAATCTTTATTAAAAAGGTTTTTTTTCTCAATTGTTGGCTAAAATGCATAGTAAAAGGCTTAAAAGTTCTTTAGGATATTGTGATCATTCGCAATGTTTTGACCTCGCCAATTCTCTCTGGAATTGATGGCGATCGATTGCTTTCGAGATCTTTCCGATAAACGGAGCCTATGACTCTTCAAAGGCTGACCGGTTTTTTTCCCCATTTCCCCGGCAATAGAATATCAAGGGCTTTATCTGCCGATCCGTTGGCACTAGGCAGAAAGCAGATACGAGAGACACTGAAAATTGCTTCTTCAATATGAAGGTTCAACACTGGACACTTTTCTTTTAAACTATTCTTTTAAAGCCTAACGAGTTTCCTTTATCTATCGGTTCGTTCATTCAAGAAACACCTGAATTTGACACAAAAATTTAATGAATTCCATACTATCGGTGAGAAAAAAATCCAATACCCATCTGAACGTATAAAAAAATTACAACTAATTCAACCATTTATTCCAGGTTAAATAGAATCTAGGGTAAATAGAACATGTTACTTTCCAGTCCTAGTAACCTAGCGAAAAACGAAATGAACTTCAAACTTTTTCCATTAAACAATACCAAACGTTTTAATAATTAAAAAAAGAAATCCTACTGGGCTAACATTTTAAACAATTTTCTTCGAACGTATACAAACTTTGTAAAGTACTATAATTACTGATAAATTAATTAAATAATCACTTTTTTATTTAATAAATTAAAGGTTAATGAAATTTTTAATAACCTGGTAAAACGTTGATACCGTTTTTAGCAATAGCGCCAGATAATCTATGACTAATACAAGATTAGATCAATTAGAGAACGATCAACTTCGAAATTCAAACTTTACTTTTTATTCAATAGGAACTTAGAAGGTTTATTAGTTTAAAAAAAACGATGAGTGATATCACTCTTAAAACAACCGTAAAAATTCATGACTTTTTGCGATAGTTTTTATTTCCTTTAATAAAAATTATGAAATCCATTAATAATTAATTTTTACGAGCTAATTTGTTTATGTGCTTATCATCATATCAGCACTCATGTCCTTGGCATAGCAAGAGCAACAATCATAGTAACGTTATGTAAGGTATTGGTTGATATGAAAATGCTCGAGTCACGAACGGGATTCGAACCCACGACCTTCGGCTAAATACGACGCTGCTCTACCACTTGAGCTATCGTGACTTCGATCCACTCGGACACCAACTTTCCATCTCAACCTACAACCTTTCGAATTTTTCCTCTTTTTTCAAAAGAATTCGAATTAATTCCAATTTGTCGCCGAGAATCGATTCCTGATTACATTACATTTGATAAATGGCAAAAAGGAGGGAAATTTGGAAAGGTAGGTTGAGATGGGAAGTTGGTGCCTAGTGGATCGAAATCACGATAGCTCAAGTGGTAGATGAACGGCGTATTTAGCTGAAGGTCGTGGGTTCGAATCCCCCTCGTGACACTAGCTTTTTCATATCAACCAATACTTAACATAAAGATTAATTAATTGAAAGAAGTTATATGGTCAATCGGACCACGAAATATAATGGACTTCATATTAAAGCTTGATTTTAAGATTAATTTATTGTAATATGTGACAATTAACCTGGGAAATATTTAAAAATGTGTATACAAAAATAAAAAACCCGTAATCTTAAAAATAAGCACAGCCAAATATGAAAGATGGCGATTTTATTTACCAAAAAACCCGTAAAATATTGTCAGGCAAAGTGGAAAACTTGTCTAAAAGATCAGTACTTTCAAACTGCATAATGTTAAACTTTATCGTTTAGTTGAAATCATAGACTAATGTATTAACTAACTGCACAGGTCCATTAATATTTAGAACAGAATTATAGGAGTGGTCAATAACTAATAGTCAATTGGTGTGTTGGTGTACCCTCATCAACATTCCATGTATAGTAACAATTATTTTAGTCTCCAAATCAAGAAACTAGTACTGCAGCAAATAAAATGAAATGGACACTTATACACATAATACAAACAATAACATACATTTGGAATATTTGGGATGGGGGTGGAAATTTGCAATACATCTTTTTTTAATGGGAACTTTGGAGTTGTTCAAAGTCCATTACTTAAAAGAATGATAAAACCTGAATAGAACTATTTAATCGTTACATGTTTTTAACAAGACAAACTTTTATAGTATGTTTACCCCCTGTTAAATTAAAAGTGCATGAAATTTGGTTCAAACTTTTTGAATTTTTGGTGGCTGTGTAAGTTGGTACAAGAAAACAGACGAAATTGGATATAAAATAGCCTAAACAATAACAAATGTGAAACTTACTTTTGAGCTCTCTTCCTTCGTTCGTGCAGTTGCCCTCCTCCATGAGGCACTTGATGTACTGTGTTAGGATCCTGTCATTTGATAGAATCTTATCCACGTCTATGTTGTCGTACTTTGAGGTGTAGACCTCGGCCGAAAGAACGGCCCCAAATAGGCAGAGGAGGATTACGGCGAGTTTCATTGTGGTAACTGACTTCTTTAGCCGTGGCTTCTGCCGTCCCTCACGTTTTATACTTGGACGCCCCACTCGGGGAAAGCGACCATGGACCCCTTACGTCATCCTACAACATTTATCCTTCTTGCGACTTGCTTAAACAAACCATTTTTTACCTCTTACTGATGATAAACACGATGGGAGGCCAGCTAAGATCACCTTTCGATTTCACTTCTAATCGTTCCAAGAATTTGTTTATTTGTTTATTTTAAGCATAGGGACAAAGCATCTGATATAGTCTTTGTTTTAATTGAAACTTTAGCCTCAACCTTGGTTGAATAAATTAAATCGGAAAAAGAAATCACAAAATTTTTAGGGAATTTATTAGGCTGTAAAGAACAAAAAAGAAAAGAAAAATAAATATATATTATTCTAAATATTTATCATCTTTTTCGACAGATTTTCCTCATGGACTATGACATCTCTTCTTGAGATCTGTGGGTGATAATGCTGTAGATTGGTCGGCTCCGATTATTTTGGTCCGCCTATATCAGTGTTATGGTCTTTCTGATGCGTTTCGGCATATCTTAATCTTCATTGGTAATGTTGGATATATTCGTAAGTACAAAAATGAAAAAATAACGTGCAGCAGTAGGTGAAATAGGGTGAGGATAGGCAGACCAAAATGTTCGGAACTACCTAGCTGCAGATTATTATTATTTTTTTATTATTAGCACTAAGATCAAAAAGTAGACTGTCAAATTTTTAATGAGCCAGCAATCCTATCAATCCTAGTTTGTAAAGTCAGTTATTTGTTCCTTTTTTCCGATTCGTTTCTAGATTACGCTTTTATGCCTTGTTCTCGGTGGTTGACATGTCATACATATCAAAAAAGTTGGGTTTTTGCCATCATAAGCGGAGTTCTGTGGGTTATCATACTTTTCAAACTAACATAAAAAAAGAGTGCTTGAAACTTGTACACTGAAAGGGGGGAAAAACCAAAACCGTTTGAGACACCAAAACAGCGAGACTAGACATACCTAAAGATCAAAAACGATCAAGCTAAAAAAAAATTCATATCAGATTTCAGATTCATTTGCAATAATTTTTTAACAATGTTCTCCAAGCTTGGAAAAAGCCCGGTATTCTGAAGGAGATTGGTCAGGATCGGTATAGAATTTCAGCATTTCATAGCCAAGTTCTATTTTTATTTCTTCACTGCCTGTGTTGAAACATAAAAAGCGCGATCATGCTATATGATAGGTACTGCCACCAATGAAATTTCTTTTTAACAAACGTTTAACGCATTTGGTCAATTTGTTGACAATACTTTGTTGAATTGTTTGTTTTCCTACTCGGTAGAAAAAAAAATTTATGAAGATTACCATAGATCACTACAATTTTCAGATAATGATTCGGTTTTGGCATGTGATCCAGTATTCAGCTGTGAAAGGTAAGGAAAATAAAGTACAGTAAGCCCAGCAGTGCTTCGGAACAAACAACCCCACTTCCGAGTATTCATAATCATCATCCTCATCCTATCTGAATTTGTTTTTATGCTCATTGAGTAGAACTAAACAATATAATTGAGTTGTACATAACGTTGACGTGTAAATGGAGAAACACTAATGTTTGGAGTTTCGCCTGTTGATGTTTATCCAGCTCAGCCTAGGGCCTCACGATTTTTAATTTTTTCAACGATAAACTGCAGTATGTATGTGTCTAAATTTGCGGCAAGTAATCTTTTGGATTGATGTGGTTTTTTCCTACAGCTTTCTTAAGATGTTGGTCATCTTGTTGGTTTTATTTTAGTGGTTTCCTGAAAAAAAATCTTAACAAATCAATGACAAATAGATCTTTCACCGCAAATTCCGTGCAGCTCGGTCAACAAAATGTCCTAGTTTTGAACCCATCCAAAAAACATAATCAAACTTTGTGTCATTCCTCTTTCACGTTTAAAATTATACTAAAACGTTGAATGTTTTTTGGTAAAGAAAATAAAAATATTTAATAATTAATTGAATATTAATATTTATTACAGATTGTAAATATTTTTTCCGGGAAGTTTCTTTGTATTTCACCTAAATTTTCCTTGCTTTATTTCATTGACAAAGAAAAGTAAGTCTTAAAAATAGAGAGTTTTATTGCTATACTATATCACGAACATGTTTTAGTAATCATGTACACATTAAAGGATCTGCCCTATAAACAAAAGTGGAGAAACAACCCATTGGCAGTACTCCTATGTGTCCTAGGTGTCGCAACATAATTGATGGTAGTTTCACTATACAACGTGTATGGCCGGGCTAAGGTAAATGTCCTGGGTATAACAGGAGCCCACGGGAATATTTTCCAAAAACACCAGCACGGTTTATTTTAACCTCGTAGTTGAAATATTATCGTAAAATCTATTTATAAATAGACTTATTAGCTTTAAGGAGGTAGTGACCATTTTTTGGACGTACAGATGGTTTTGTTTTATTATTATGGTATGGTATTATGGTTCTACTTCTGTTCGATGGATTTTAATTTTCCATACGCATATCTTTCTCAAGAGTGTCTGTATTTTCTGTCTAAGCTTCAAACTATAAAATGTGAACAATTTCAGCAACTTTTCAAGGTTATTAATTGTTTAAAGAGAAACCAAAATTTGCCATCTTTTGGTACCATTTTATCAAAATATATTTGGTCTATTATCCACAATCATTTGTTTTCTTTGACTTTATTACCAATTCGTAGCTAAGAGCTTTTAAAAATACTGATACGATCATTTTTGACAAAAGACTAAAGTAATAGAAATCGTAAAGGTGGATGAATGTATTATTTCATTGAAAACGAAAGTTTTACTCCGAAAAATGTTTTTCGTGGTTAACCTGTTTCCAAAAAAACTGTGTGAGTTGAACCATCGTTATCAACGAATGAATTGATATAGTCACTCCACTTTACCATTTCTATTAATTTGCTAGTCAAAGCATTTAATTTAGGATTATACCGGATAAAGGCGAAAACGGTTTCCGATAGAACTTTCGTTTTCCAACCAATCAACCTAAAGTTGAGACAAAGGCAAAATCTAAATTTCTCTCCTCCGGGATATTAGTAAAAGCATTGTTCACAACTATTGTTCGCCTATTATTGTTTTACTGAATGTAAAAAAAGAATCGTTTTAATAGATAAAGAGTTGCAGAGAAAAATGAACTTAAATGTGAAATTTCATAAATCATTTACATCTACATTTCACCTCATGTAGAGATGATGAGACTGTTGATGGCGAATAGCCAAACGCCTGTGACAGACGTAAACAGCGAAGATATTAATCAGAGACGACCGGACTATAAAGTTCATCACCCCGCAGACCTTACGCAGAGGTCTCACCTCAGTGATGGTCGACTGATCATACTTTTCAGATAATCATCATCGAATGGAATTTATCACTTGTACACGTATGCAAACCCACAACTGATGATGTCAAAAAGCCCAACGCTTCTGACAGACGTAACAGCGAGGATCTTCAGACCAGAACGTCAGAAACGACCAGACTCGCAGATCTCATGATCTTAAACTTCACGATTGGCCCGAATAATACACTTTTCAAACAAAACTTTATTTCGAAGGTAAATCACTCACGACATCAACGTCCGAATTAATTTATCACGTAAAGGACAAGGGGGACAGAAATACGAGTGACGGCGTTAATTTTACGGATTAATTTCTCCCAAAACGATTTATCCTGTTGACCCGTTACGGTTTAAGTTAAAAATACGATCTCGCCACGTTTGTATCTTTTCTCCTGAGATAAAAGGTCGCTGTAGATGATGAGTAGAAAGAACCTAATGAAGAATAATTGGCGGTGGAAGACGGAGGTGAGGGAGAAACCGAGTGATTAATCAACCGTCGCACATTTCAACCCTTGTGCTGGCTAATTTTTTTTTACAAGTTCCGTCCATTTGTTGTAAACGGGTATATAATTTGTATAAAGAGGGTTATTGAAAGCTAAAAAGCTATTTAAACACTTTTCAAAAAAACCACATATCTCATCGAATGCAAGTTTCGACGATCCAAACTTCATCTTTTAAATTGAGTTATATTAGCAATTCTGAGTTTAATGTTTGTATTCCTATCCAAGAAAACCTTGAGCTGATCGAAGATTGTTTTAAAAAGTGGAGTACAAGGCTAAATGAAGAAAAATGTATTCAGGGTACGTTCACATTGCAAAAAAAAAACAGTCTTGCTTTCCATTATGCACCAACAACAAAGATATATTCAGGTCAAATATTTAGGGCTAACATAAGACTGACGTGTAATCCTCACACAAGATTAAAGAGAGAAGAACTCAACAAAGGACTTGGACAAGCTACGAAGACTTCTAAGGCCGAAGTCTGACTTGACCGTCAACACTAAACTAGCCTTATAGAAGACTTTACCGACTTTGGACATACGGAATGGAACTGTGGAGTTCTTCTATCCAAAGAAGACGCATCCAATCCTTCCAATCGAAAGACCTGAGACAAATCGTAAAAACTCCTCACTACGTCACTAACCTCACTATTCACAACGACCTCACCATCCATTTCCGCTGGCATTAATCTGTGCTGTGACCTTGTGAAAAAAAGTTCTGTAACCAAATTTGCAATATGTACGAACATGTATAGAGTGCAAATGAAATAATTTTTACATTGTTGTACAAAATAAATTGACTTATGTGCAATATTTTGATCATCATCGCCTATTTTACATACTAACTAATAACTATGTCGTATACATAATTAAAAATCATAATTATAACAATTTCACGTTTATTAATACTTTTAGGCTCTTATGTTTATTATACAACTTATGTTATATATCTTCCTCAATCAAAACTAGACTCTCCAACAATGAAAATCACATAATTTGCGATAAGTGTTCTACTCACGGTCTAGTGAAACTAATGGGCAAAAATTGTCCTAATGCGCATAAGCGGATAAATGGAACTTTTTTCTTCTCAAAAGACCAATTTTACTTATTGTTCGCATTGTATGTTAATTTTGTTTGTCAAAATTGGGCTTTTATTGTAATTCTTTA